TCACAGGCTCTTTCGTCAAAGAATGCCTCAAAATTCCGACAAAAACGATATATGGGTGGTTTGATTGAGTCATCAGTTTCTAGATCTGTGGATTGAGAAATAGAAAGATTTTTCACATGTGAGATTTATCCATGTCGACAAACCGGGTAATCGGAATGGCAAATCCCTAAGGTCCCGAATAATGATACACTAGAAAAATGAATTAGGAGAAGAAGTACAGAAACGGTGTAAACATCACTGGGAAATTACTTAAGTTGTTGTTCCACGAGCCCTTATTTTCATTTTTTCTATACATATGATATTATTTAGGTATGGCAACATTTGGATTTTACATATCTTTTACTATTATGTTCATACTTGTATATGCATTTTTCTTAAATTTTTTGCCTTCCACGAATTTAACTACTTTTCTTCAAGTTATTTTCTATGCTTTATTTGCAATCAAATAGCTGATTTATTTGGTGTATGAGTAAGGAACAGGTTTACACAGAACGTGTTTTTCGAACCCATACTCTAACTCTATAGAAGACAAATATATTATTTATGGGCATGGTATTTTAAGATATATAAGATATATTCAAACTGAAAGTTTGTTATTATAAATTGACCTTTAAGTTGTTACTGCCTTGTGTAAATCCTGTGGATTTAAATTGTCAATCCCATTACATATATGTCAAACAAATCAACATAGAGGATGTTAAAACGGAATGTACATTATAACTTTTTGCTGTGTTAACCTCCACAATTAGTATTTATTTTACATATATGCAATGGAATTTATAATTTAAATCAATTAGTTTTACTAAATCCTGCACTTGTTCTATAACCCGCAAAAGTTTCTAACGTGCATCGCCATGGTACAATTATAAAAGGTAACATCAAATCCCAGCTGATTTGATTCCAACGTAATACTATTGTCAATATGAATTTGACAAATTATTTTTTTAAAAATCACCCAACAGGAAAATTGGGAACGCATATAATTTGAAACTGTTCTTTCTTAAATGTGCTTCCGTATTCAATTTACTCAATCTGCCTAATGGGAAAATTTGAGGAAGCAAATCTTTCTTCATGGAATAACTCGCAATTCCCTGCGCTTTCGCAATTCCCTGATAATGTTTACAGTACATAGCGATTTTATTTTGAGGATTCCAAAATATTTCATTTTGAAAATAAATATATGGTCTGTTCCCGTACTGCAAGAATCTACTACTTTTTACTACGATAACGAATTTTCTTTTATGATATCGAAGAAAATAGTAAAATCTAGTAGATTCTTGCAGTACGGGAACAGACCAATAATTTGTTTGTTTACATGTTTCTGTCAAAAGAAGTTGGACACTAGTATAACTTACAACAACAAGTTTCCATGTGGTTGTTGTATCGTTTGTTGTACAACAACACTTGCTGTTACCTTCTATTAGAGGAAGTGATGCAAATGTGGTATAGGTTGGTAATGTGGTATAGTCACTTTTTTTGTAAACTGAAATTTTCAGAATAACTGAAACATGTTCTATAGTTTGCTGTTTTCAAAAAAATAAGGTAGCAATGATCTGTTTAATTTATTTAACTCTCGTTGGGAATCAGTAGCAAAAATGAAAATGTTCATGAAATTGACTTTTTTTCGGTTGAAGTTTAAAAATATATTTTTGTTTACAGATGTATTTTAATCTTTATTATTAAAGCATTAAAATAATTAGTAAGTACTAAAAATTGAATAATATGCGCGACTACAACACCTATTTATCAATTTAGAAAAAAAACTACACGTTTATTCAGTAAACACAAGTGTAGGTAATGTGGTGTGAGTCTGCATGAAAAAAGTCAGCACAAGGCAAAATATCATTACTATTTGCAACATTTGTACTCTACGAGAGTCTACCATGAATCACAAGGATGAAAAACAAAGGCTATGAGTTTTAACAATTTATCCATACAAAAGTTAAAGATTGCCATGTGTAGACATTATTATATAATAAAAATTAAAAGGTTCGTTCCCGTTCTTTTTGATAGTAAAGCTAGTAAAAGAGCGAACTATCCAAAATTACTCTCACATACAAGATTTGGGCAAAAAGTAAAGGAACGAAAAATAGTTAAAACATAAAGAAACGTAAAAATCAAAAATTTCATTTGTTAAGGACAAAAAAAGACTACAGAACCTAATGCACAAAAAAAAAACAAAAAATTAAACGGCGTCCATTGCGTGATTTTGATAATATTAATATTTATTGTTTATTTTTTTATTTGTATAATTTAGAGGAAAACATTATCGAATATTTGGAAGTGGAGTTTCCGACGAGTCCGGAAAGGCTTACATGGCTGGACGCTCCCATAATGTTAATGCTATTGAAATTGGTAGATATTTTGATTGGAATGTTTTAGCAAACTTGAACAACAAGATATGGAACAAGTCAAGTTTAAGGGCTCCACTCGGATCACAGATATATAAATTTCATCTGGGGAAATGCATACTTCCCGAGATATTGGCCTTGAAATTTCGGAACATATTTTCTTTAAAACAACCCTTTTTCTATTGCCACAAAGGCAATATGGGTATCATTAAAAGGTTATATCGGGTACTTTTTAAGGCCCATATCGCGGGAAGTATGCATTTCTCCCTATAAAATATATATCACCGTAATCAGTTCACCGAGGACCACTTACTGTAAAAATGTCAAAGCGATCCAAGTGGAGCCCCTAAAATTGACTTAAGCCCAAGATATTTTGGACCAATGTACACACGTTCATCTTCATTCTATAGTATCTTCATCTGAATCTTCTGCCATTCATTCATCTTCGCTATCCTTCAAAGGATAATAAAAATTATGTTTGTCCATTTTTAAATTTCCTATTTGTTTTTTTTTTTTCAAGCAAATGTGTGTGCGTCTGTGCGTGTGTCCTTTTTGTTGAAGCGCTAACTTTCATATGCTTTATTTCGGACTGTATATCTCTGGGAATCAAATGTCAAATTCACAATTTACTACATTTAATATTTCGTGCTAGGCCAAATTGGTCTTGCAGAAAAAGGAGAAGAGAACGCCATTTTGATTTTAACTCTCTTAAATTTAACTTCAATTTTTCCTACTTTTCGACGTAAGGAAACGCTTTTCTAGCAAAAATTGCAAAACTAGTACAATATAGTACTATATTGCAGGTTTGGGAACACAGCTAAAGTTCCACTCAACGTATCCGTTAAAAATCTTAACAGACATAAATCTCGAGCTATTTCGCATTCATTAAAAACAATAAATTATATAAGATATCAATTGGAAGTGAAAAATATACTATACCACATTAACATCATGTGGTATACCACATTACCTGCACTTTTTTTTAAATCACTTTTAATGGAATTTGAATATTTTCTGAAATATCTCTTAAATTTTTAGAATAACATTATTTTCAAATTGATACATGGAAAGACAACATATGTAGCATGTTAAGTGTAAAATTTCAATTTAATCGGATAAAAAATAAAAATTTGGCAATCTAAAATCAAATGGGTATACCACATTTGCATCACCTGCTATATTATACCATGGTACATCGCAAAAATTAAACTTATTTTGCCAACCGATTTTACAAGGTAACAGCAAAAATACAATTCAACGACAACCACATAAAAAATTATTATTGTATGTAAAACATAAAATATCAGTATATTTGTTCAAAATGTAAAATTGAACATGAATGAAATTCTTGAAAAAAAGTCATTACTAATAAGTTATATGCTGCTTCACATTTTCCCATTAGAGTCTAAACGCAACCAGAGAGTCACGAGTCAGCGTCATACTTTTTCGCCGGCGTGAAAACCAAACGAAAGAGTTAGCGTTAGCGGCACAAAATGTCAATTATTTGTGTTCATTTTCTGACAGAAAATTTTACGTTGTGCAAACCAAAATCAATTTATTATTTAATAAACAATAATGTCAAGGAATTTTGATAAAATTATTGAAAAAAATATTTTTCTTCCATTTTATTAATAATTCATTAAAAAGCATCCACAATCTTTGAAAATATTTTTTTTTTTTTTTTTTTTTTTTTGCAAAATAGTCAGGCTTAATCCCAGTTTGTTGTTTTTATAAAAAAACAACTATTTATTAGTGGGGAATGTATGGCATTGTCCGCCGAGGGGTAAGGCAGGGAAGACTATAGTTTCGGATCTCGCCACTGATCCTCATCAGTTCCCTTAGTTTTTTGTTGGGATATTCTCCCCAGAAGCTATTAATAGCTTCTTTACAAAAAACCTTTCAAACCCAAATGTCTCTTGTGACAATTCGAAGTTCTTACGTTACCAGCGATAGACCCCAATGAGAAGTTCGTTTCGTTGGCGCCTGACTTCGTGGTCGACAAGGCATTTACAGACAACTACAATACATTTCCCACTGCTATGTGTCGTCACTTTGTGACGAATGCACATAACGTTGTTGTTGGTATTGCTAGTTAAAGCAATAAACCAATTTAACAGTACTGCCATATGTTTTGATATAAATTCTCATTGAAATTTGGTAGCACTGTTGATTTTTACCTAAAATATGGCAACTTAATTGAGAGCAAGAGAGAATTTTTGAGTATGACGCTGAGCAAAAATGAATAAAATCTATTCTAGCGTCATGCCGCTAGACGCGAACGTCAGACGTCGCGATTTCCCGTTGCCTATAAGAAACACACGGCAAACGACTGTCGCTGACTCTAGACTCTATGGTTGCGTTTAGACTCTTAGGAAATATTTGTATGGCGATTTGCATATTTTCAATCATGGCATAATTATACAAGGTAGTCTCATGCAGTCATATGTTTTCCCCTGCGACAAAAAAAATGTGGCGACTCTGGAAGGAGATGTTTTGTGTTGAATGAACAATAAGGCGCGATAGTTTCGTTTGTTATGGTTTATAATTCTATTAAATTTTTAAAATAAATATATTTTATAATTATTTTTTGTACTAGGGTCTAGTTCTTTTGAGATTTTTGTAAAGCTGAGCTCCTGAAAATTTACCACAATGATAGAACCTGGTGTCATTAAAAAATTAGATGAAGTTGTAGTGAATCGTATTGCAGCCGGGGAAATTATACAGCGACCGGCAAATGCTTTAAAGGAACTACTGGAAAATAGTCTGGATGCCAAGGCTACCATCATACAGGTCACAGTAAAGTCGGGTGGACTCAAACTATTACAAATTCAAGATAATGGTACGGGCATAAGGAAGGAGGATATGGCGATTGTATGTGAAAGATTCACCACTTCAAAGCTCACAACTTTTGAGGACCTTACCAGCATTGCCACATTCGGGTTTCGTGGAGAGGCATTGGCGAGTATTAGCCATGTAGCTCACTTGACAATACAGACGAAGACTGTCAAGGAGAAATGTGGATACAAGTAAGTAGGTCCTGTAATGTTGGATTTGATTTTCTAAAGTGCTTTCTCCTCTAAGGGCCTCCTATGAAGATGGCAAACTTAAAGCTCCACCAAAACCTTGTGCCGGCAATCAGGGTACAATTATCACCATAGAAGATTTGTTTTATAATATGCCACAACGACAACAGGCACTAAAGTCACCAAATGAAGAATTCCAAAGAATATCTGATGTTATGTCGAAGTATGCCATACATAATTCAAAAGTGGGGTTTACATTGAAACGTTTCGGTGAACAGCCATCGGTAAAAACAGCACCGAACAGTAGTCAACAGGCAAATATCGAAACAATCTATGGTGCTTCCATAGCCAAAGAGCTATTGGCGGTTGAGTTGAAAGATGATGTCCATAAATTCCAAATGAATGGATATATTACAAAAGTCAATTACAGCTCAAAGAAAGGCATTATGTTGTTTTTTATAAATCATCGCCTTGTGGAGCTGGCATGTAAGTTTTCTTTTTATGGAAGCAATTATATCTATAATTAAATGTTAATTTGCTCGCTTTTATTTGTGCAGCTTTAAAAGCTGCCATCGATAATGTTTACAGTACATATTTACCCAGAGGAATGCATCCCTTCGCCTACATAAGCTTGGAAATAAATCCATCCAATATTGATGTCAATGTCCATCCCACAAAGCACGAAGTTCATTTTCTCTACGAAGATGAAATTGTTGAAAAAATAAAACAGAATCTGGAAACGAAATTGCTGGGCAGTAATGAAACGCGTTCATTTTACAAACAATTAAAAATGCCCGGAGCCTCGGAACCACTTGCTGGAACTAAAGATCTTGATAGCAGTTTGAAAAATGTCAGTGTAGACAGAATAAATCCTCAAAATATGATAAGAACTGATAGTAAAGAGCAGAGTATTTACAAATTTTTAAATGTCGAAGGTGTAAAATTAAATGATTCTGGTTGTTCGATGAGTTTGAGTAGTTCCAGTTCTACATCTGCGGCAGCAGCTGCGAACGAGACAGCGGTTGCAGGTGCGGGATTGCCGGAGGAAAGTTTTCGTGACATTGCCCATAAAAAATCGAAGGAGGTTAAGCTAACTAGCATTTTAAATATGCAAAAGAAAATTGAAAACGATTGTTCGATTGAAATACGAAAGATGGTAAAGGAGTTGGTTTTTGTCGGTGTTGTGGATAAGCAATTTGCTTTGTTTCAGCATGAAACTAAACTTTATATGGCTGATACAATTAAATTAAGGTATGCCATGACGATATACTCTCAAAACTAATTTTAGCGTGATAATTTGAACTTCCAATATGATTACAAATTTTACTGAATTATTCTCAAATTCAAAGCGTACTTATTTGTTTCCTTATTTTCATTTTAGTGAACAACTCTTTTATCAACGTTTATTGTACGAATTTGAAAATCACAAAATGATAAGTATTAAACCACAACCTTTACCAGTTAAGGATTTAATTAAATTGGCACTGAATACGCCTGAAAGTGGTTGGACAGAAGAAGATGGTGATAAAGATGAATTGGCGGAAAGAGCTTCAGAGATTCTAATAGAAAAATCACCAATAATGCGTGAATATTTCTCCATGACTATTAATAGCAGTGGGCAATTGGAGACTATTCCCTCCTTGCTGGACAAATATATACCGAGTAAAACATTTTTACCAATTTATATGTTGAGATTGGCTACCGAAGTTGAATGGGATACGGAGGAGGAATGTTTTGAAACATTTTGCAGGGAAACTGCGCGCTATTATGCAATGGTATCAGAAGCAGAAAGGCTAGAAATGCCAAAACAACATAAATGGACGGTAGAGCACATTATATATCCAGCATTTAAAAAATATTTGCTGCCACCAAATAATCTGAAAAAATATATATTTGAATTGGCAAACTTACCCTCTCTTTACAAGGTTTTTGAAAGATGTTGATGGCGGCGATACTTTGTTATACTGCATGAAATATTTTCTCAATGTACTCATTTTAAATTGTTGTTTGTAATAAAAAATCACATTTTTTTAAATAATAATAAATATATAGTTTACGAATCACTTTTAAATCACACTACTCTGTTAATCGTTTAGGTTTAGTCTTGGAATATAGTGATACTAATATTTTAAATATATTTATCTAGGCAGTGTATTGTTGAAAATATTTTTTAATTTTTTTATTTTTGTAAATTTGTTTTTTTCTGTAGTTGACAAAGTAACGAAAGCTTGGTTGGGTCTAAAAATTATAGTAAACAAATTTGAAAATAAATTATACGGTACAGTTTAAATTAACACTTTAATAGTTTATTGAAAACAATTACAATCTAAAATCACAAGCTAATCATAAGTACCAATCATCATAAGTTATGCAAAAGATCAATAAAATAAAAATAAATTATTTCTAAAATTTGTATTGCTTTGTTGTTCAATATCAAAATTGATCTTTAGCATATTCAAATGACGAAATTCACACTGCAAATCCGAAACGCACATCAATTTACAAATTTGGTTGTCTCAAACGTTTTTCGCGCTGAGCATTTGCAACATGTTCCTTTAACATATTCATTATTTCATTTTGATACTCCGGAGGTGTGGGTTTGTTCTCGGTGGCCCAATAATAAATATCCCAATCATTGGTGACACCATTAATGAGGCGGTCATATTGGTCTGTTAGTTCAGCATTCAGGCCTTTCAAGTGTTTGGCCACAAAGGTACTCAGCAGTAAATCGTTCTCCAACATGCCGCGTTTACGTGATTGATATACCAATCTGCAAGAACAACATTTTATGTTATTGCGTTTTACAAAAATTGAATTCATCACCTTTACCTTTGCTTTTTAACATCCAATGGTTCGTCTGGCCGGAATGGATATTCTGGCAAGGGCAAATAATCGGGATCCTCGTAGTCGATGATGGGAACATCGGCATGATTGACCACATCCTGTTTGCCATCTTTACCATCACCACCGGCACCAGTAGCGGCAGAAAAACGTTGTGTGCGCGCCAGAAGAGGTGTAAGTGTGCGTTGACCCACAGTAGTCTGGTGAAATATAAGGTTATGCAATGCATTTGAGTTTGTCTCATTTACAACGTTACAATCATATTGGGGATAAAGTTTTTACTTACTATTAATTGACGCAACATGTTCGGAATTTGTTTTTGTTATTTGTGTAATTTAATTTATTATAATTTAATAATTTTTATTATTGTTTAATGGTCGTGCAACAGCAGAACCGATGTTATGTTTACGAACGAAAAAATTCAATTCAACGATTCACTGAAATGAACCACTGAACAATCCCAACTAGATTCCGTATTTTTCCATCATTCTCAAGTCCTCTATTTACGAAATGTGTAGGAACGAAAAACAACTCAAACGCATCATGTTACGAATATGGGTGATAGAGAACAAGCCGAATGGGCATATTGTTTACGAATGACGACCAACGGGACGAATACGCAAAAACAAAAACAGTGTTACCAAGTCAAGTGGAATGGTTCTGGATTTTGTATAAAAAATACAACTTTTCCCGACTTGTTCAAAGCCTTAGTAGAACTTCATAAATTCAATGCTTCCCTCAAAAACAATTATATTTGAAAGGAGATTCTGTGTGAAATTTTGGAAGCCCCTATATAAGGATGTGTAGACTTCTCCAAATAAATTATTAAATTTTTGTGATCATACCGCAATTTCTTCAAATACAAGCCCCTTCTGTGGATATTTGGAGGTATATTTCTCAGGAAGTATTGATTTCGGTAAAATCTGAGATCTTAGGACGAGTGGTAAAACGGATCCGCGACCAAGCCCTAAACTTAATTTGTTCATGTTTTAGTGTTTGAAATATAAATACAGTATTTTTCAGTTAATTGGTTTCCCCGCTTAATTGAACCACATGATGGGTCAACAAAATATTGCATTCGAAAACACATGTACATTACAGTACGTTTACATTTAACCGAATTTCGTTAACCCACTGGGTTTCAATTGTCAATTCCTTTGCATATATGTCAAATAAATCCATGTCATCAAAAATATTGAAAAATAATCTGTCATTTTTATAGACCCATGGTTCCTTTTAAGAATATCCATGGAATCACTTTCTGAGTCGATTTATGCATGCCCGTCCGTGTGTCGATGTTAAATTGTAAACAATGTACAGGTCGCATTTATAATCCAGTTAGATTAAATTTGGTACACCAAATTCATGTCATCAAAAATATTGAAAAATAATCTGTCATTTTTATACAACCCATGGAAATTTGTTTTTTAAGTTCTATATGTCAACTGGATTTCAGAAAACTTTAAACAAATAAACAAATTATATGCAAATTATTTTTATTTTGTGTGTCGATGTTAAAATAAAAATTGAAAAACAGGTGAAATTTATCAAATCCAGTTAGATTTCTATCGCTTCCAATCTTTTGGTAACACCAAATTATATATATGTGTAACACATAGGAAAACCCTATTGAAATTTCGAAAATTCAGGGTTGAGTAACTTTGAAACTGCATATACATTTCAAATTTTTTATTTTCCTGTTGGGTTAATTTTTAAAAACATTTATGTCAAATTTATTTGACATATATGCAAAGGAATTGACAATTGAAACCCACTGGGTTAACGAAATCCGGTTAAATGTAAACGTACTATTAGATATAGCTACCATATACATTTTCGTCCGATTTTATGTAAATGGTGCACGGAAGTCTCTATATATTTTTCGATTTTAACGAAATTTGGCATATCAGATTGAATGATAACTAGGATATTGTGTGCTAAATTTCGTGAAAATCGGTTCAGATTTTGATATAGCTCCCATATCCGATTTTAAGTAAATGGTGCACCAAACTTCCTATTTGAAATTTAGCGTAGGTTTTAGAATGGCATACGTATGGATTGATGTTAGTCGGATCACAGAAATGTATATATATATATATATATGAGTTCGTTCAATTTGAAGTCAATGTTCCTTCGAAGAGCGACGTCTGTTAGGATACATATGTAGAATACACCAAAGTGGTGAAGGGTTCATATAGTCGGCCCAGTCAGACTTTATTACTTTCCTTACTGGTTTTACATACATATTTGACATAATTTATGAAAAACACTAGGGTACATCTCTACTAATTGAAAACATATGTTTATTGCTAAGGAAAAACCGCGAGAAAGCGTAAGTGTTTGATTTGTATTTGATAATAACATTAGAAATTAATTTCTACCAATTATGAGCGATTTCTGTAATTGAACAAACAGTTCAATTAAGCGGGTATCGGATAATTGGTTCCTCAGTTAATTGAACAAAAAATTGTGCATATTTTGATGTGCAATTAACCGAAAAATACTGTACAGTCGAGTACGGTTATAGCGAACTTGTAGGGACCAAGCAAAATAGTTCGTTATAGAATTAGTTCATTATATCCAAGGTAAGACAAAGTATAGGCTTAGCAGAAAAAATATGTATTCATTTAGAAACTGGTAGGTTTTGTGTCATTTCTGACAATTATTTTTTTTTCCAATTAACTCCTCTCCTCCTTGGCTCACGTCCTATTTGGTATTAGAATGTTCAGAGCCATGTCTCCATATGTAGCTTAAGCTACGAATTTGACTTTATCCATAGATGGTGGTTTATGTTTTGCAGGTTGACTTCGATCTTCTTTAAGAATTTGACCACAATGTTCAGACTTTCTAAGCCTTGTGTATCAGTGAACTCTTCTACTGTGAAGGAGTCACATAGTTGCGAAAAGCATCTTCTTTTGTTATTAAATTTACGAAAATTAAAAATTTCATGCGCAGCTGTTTGGATTCTGTTGAACGACTCGTAATTTATAGGTTATCCGTATTTGAAAACACACGTGTTAGTTAAGCGAACGCTTAACAACCGCCATTTTGTAAAAATCTATTTTTAAGCCCGTGGGCGTGTAATACTCATTTAAAATTTTTTTTACGTCTTTCTTGTGAGCCGTCCGAGGACGAACTGCATTTCTGACAATTATTAAGTTGCTTCTCTTTTTTTTACCCATCACCGTTTATGATCCGATTTGGATGAAATTTGGCACATGCCACTTATTTGGCACAAGGACGAACCCTACTGAAATTGGAGAAAATCTGTTCAGATTTACATATAGCTCCCTTATATAGTTTCGTACGATTTTTTGAAAATGGTGCATCAAACTAGAAATATTGGTCCGATTGAGAAAGCATTTTGCAGTGTAATGAATTAGGTCCAGATTGATGTATGCGATTTTTTTGGAATCGGTTGAGATTAAGATATAGCTACCATATGTAGCTTCGTCTGTTTTTATGTAAATGGAGCATCATAGTTGCAATATTATTGAAGATTATTCAAGGTATTTTTCATATTTGGTTATAGGATTTTTAGTTATTTACAGTTATATACAACAGATGCCGACTATTGGAACTCTTATCCCATAAGTAATATATATCGAAATCTATTTTTATTAGTTTATTAGTTCAGTTCAAGATTCTTGCAAGTTCGTGAAGAGAGCAATTTGTATTATTATTTATTTTGCATATATTTCTCTGTAAATTATATAAAAATTGTTGATTCCAAGTAAATTTTATTTTTTAATCATTGATGCTTTTTGTTTGGCTTTTTTGGTCAGGTATTTTTGATGAAAATAAAAACTGGTTTTTATTTCATATTTTGCTCGAGGTTTCGTTGGCTTTTTTCCAACATTTTCGAGACATTTTTATTTTTTGTCATCTATTTTCGTTTCCAAAATATGGTCGCCTTACCTATTATCAAATGTGAAAGTACTCTTTTTCACTTTAATTCAGATTTTGTTTATTAAACATTTCAATTATACATTTATAACAGTATTTTATATAACATTACATATAAACATTTGTAATAAGTTTCTTTTGTCTTCAACCACTCTCTGTGTTATTCATTAAAAAAAATATATAATAATAAAATATAATATTGCTTCAAGCAATTTGTTAACTATAAATTAAATAGTAAAAACTAGAAAATTCAATGAATTCATAAATGCAAAAAATTTTGTGACACAAAAAGAAGACCTAGCGCATTAAGTAATTCACATTAAAGCTAATTAACTGACTTATTCTCTTCACTTCACTTAAAAGCTACACCACAGAGAGATTCTGTGCTACATTTCAAAATAGGAATGATTTTTTTTTTCTTTTTCAAATATAAAATACACAAAAAAAACTTTAGAACAATTGCTTTACTTTTAAGCATATAAATACAGATATGCCTATGGCTATTGTAGTATACTTAAAATAATATTTTATTTTAGAACGTTTACGTTCGGCCAGGTATTCATCGTAGTCAATGTAAAGAGGGTTTTTAGGTGGGCTAAAACCAGCCAACTGTATTATGGGGAATACAAAATCAATTATATTATTTGAGCATCGTTAATTTGTTGGATATCTTACTTACATATTTTGTTGTCTTCTTAAGCTCTTTTATAGTTCCTTTATAGCTTTTTAATGTGCGTTGTAAAGTTGTGATATTTTCCGTGGTGACCGGTCCCAAAAGATTGTTTTCTAAATGACTTTTAACAAACTTCAGTGTTGAATTGATAATAACCAAGTGTTGCAAATGATTGGCAGTTATCATTAGAATTTCATAAAAGCTGTTAATAAAAACATCTATAATATATTTTCTTAGATGGATAAATTGTATCTTACTTTTCATGGGAAGATTTGCTAACTCGAGCTATTGATTTCTTTGACCAATGATGCAAGTGGAAACTAAAATACACAGACAAAGGAAATGTTACCAAATTGTTTGTTCATACAATTTGTTTATACTTACTCCAAAAGTCCTTTCATAATCTTCATACGATATATTGGAAATTCAATGCCCAATTCCTTAAGCCGCTGATCTTGCATACATAAAAACTCTGACAGAGGTACACGTTCTTTGGCAAAATATTCCAAATAGTTTTCCATGCCGATGGACAAAAGAATTGTATTGATTTCTTGAAAATATTCCGGACATTCAGACTTCAAGAAAATACGTGGTATATAATCACGTAAGGTATTATAGCCCAAAAATTGTGATGGTACCACATAGGTTTCCTTTTGCTTGGGTAATATATCCAATAGATCATAGAAACCATGAAATTGGGCAACTTGTATTGGTGTATAACCCTTCTTGTTGGCAATGGTGTAATTAACACCAGCATCAATAAGAATTTTAACAATATCGGCACGATTATTTTCAATGGCATGGAAAATCGGTGTACAGCCCTGATTGTCCACAGCATCGAAACTAACTTCGTCGATTAGCATTTGTACTATTTTCGTATGGCCATTTTTGCAGGCCAGCATGAAGGGTGTTGTTCCGTATTTATCAGCTACATTGACAATAGCACCGTGCAACAATAGAATCCTTGCCATTTTTTCAATTACCAGTGGATCCCTGCAGTTCGAATCACAACAATTCATAAGCGGTGTTATCGAGTCAACTTGCTTATTGACATCGGCATGTTTATCTTCAATCAAATATTCAACAATATCCAGGAAACCTTCTTTGCAGGAGTGCAGCAGCATAGTAAGACCATCTAAAAGTAGGAATTTGTTATAAGAAGATTTGTGAGTACTATATATTTACATTGGGTTGTAAAAAAGGGGTTCACGCCCATTACGATCTTACTTACATCGAACTGGCTCATCGATATCGAATCTGGTCAGCTCCACTTGTTGCTTAAGTTCCTCCAAATCGCCTTTTATTAATGCTTCATAGAGTTCTTCGTCGCTACTTCTCTGCCAATTGGTTACCGGTTTGGTTTTTTGTATAATCTATAAGGTAAAGTAATGTTAATATGTCCTTGAACTGCTGCTGGGGACTGATATCCTTTTTGTTACATTGTTTTTGTTATTGTATTACTCACATCGTCGCCAAAAGCAAATCCATCATAATAATCATCATCGGAATCAGACTCGGGTGGTCTATATATCACATTATTTCGAGACATTTTCGCGGAAAGCTGAATGCAACCGATTTTTTTTGCAAAAATTGCAAAAACTATTGTTTTGTTTGAATTGAATGTCTATCTTCGAGAGTTGTATCGTTCCTGAACAAAATAGTTCAATGAAACGATTCCGTGAAATGAAGTGTTGGAACTATTCTTAAAACTTTCATTGGTATATTTTTTTTAGAAAATTTAGGGAATATTTTATTTTTTCAACTGAAAAATTTTTATGATTTGATTTAAATTATTGATTTGCAAATTTAATGCATAAAAATCTCAATTAAGAATGGGGGGTCCATTCTCGGGGTCAAATTTTTTTTGATTTAATTCGATTCTACACCAATTCAAAAATATCTCTACAAAATTTCAAGTGAAAAACTCTTTCAAATCTTCAAATATATATTTGCAAAGTTACAATCCTTAACAAGCCTTAGTATTGATTTACCAGCCCATTGAAACTCTTGAAAAATTAAAATCGAGAATGTGTGGGGTTCCCTTAAAAATCCTTGGACTTTTTTTTTAATTTAGAATTCAAAATTTCTCATTCGTTTGAGTCAACTAAACCAGAAATGTAAAAGTACAATTATTTTGGTTATTGTTCTGTTTCCGAATTTGCAAGAATATCCCATTGATCTTGATTGTTTTCAATGAGTCATAATATATCAATATAGTTAATTCACTTTTTGAGTGGCGTGAATTTTTAAAAATATTTTTTAAAAGTCTTAGCGCAGCTGATGTCTTGATTAACTGTCAAAGTGGGTAATTTCTATTTGAATTCGATGTGCAGTGTTGCCAACCATTTGAAATATTATATCGAAAAATTTGACAGATAATCGAGACAAAAACAAAGGTTTTTGTTTTGATACATCACCTTATTATTGCATCATGGTCTAGTCTTAAAGTACGTTTGCATTGTACCGGATTTCTTTAACCCATTGTATACATTTCGAATAAATCCTCATAGGTTAACTCGGTAAAAAGTTCTAATGTAAACCGCGTTTTAGGCGTGGATTTTTTAAAATGTTGTTCTAGATTATTTAGATATATTTATTTGGATGCCTAGTATTACGTTGGAATCAAATCAGCTGGGACTTGCTGTTACCTTTTATAATTGTACCATGAATTGATATATGAATTCCATATTAAGAAGGGTTGCCATTATCGATTTCTCAAATGAGACTACCTTGTATAGTTATACCATGAGCATATCTATAGGATTGGATTTTTTAAATTATTTTCTGCAGCCAAAGGAAATCGTGGAGTTTTTAAACCAAAACATTGAAAAATAGTTCCTTATTTAAAAATATTTTGTTCAAGAACCATCCATAGTTGTGGATTTAATATAATATGGGTATCATTTAAGGTTATAAAAATATTTTCCATTGAGTGGTAATAAAACTGATTTGGGGATATACAAAAAATTTTGCTTGGATTTTTAAAAATATTTGTCCCTCTCCAAACAGGCTATAGACCACAATTTGCCCTTTTGTTATTTCTGTTGTTCAAAAGATATGGGCCTTAGAACCCTGTATAAAACAAGGAAAATCTTTCTATACAGAAATTCCTTTTAAATAGCATGGTCACATTTTCCAGCTGAAGTGGTTGATTAATTAAGATCTTGTTACAGCATTTTTCTTCGTATTTCAAATATTTATTCATATTATTTAATTTTGTACTTAAAATATACTTAACTAAGCAGAACATTCATATTTATTTTCAATATATAATATGTTTGCAATATCACAATTAAGAATTCCACATCGTTCTTTCCACCTATTTCATGTAACAACTCCACAAATGCGATATTAGTATATCAGACCAACTTTCATATGAATCTTTGGGACAATTTATCCTAGTAAAATACTCCATACTATATAGTGAAATCATCATGCAGTTTCCATAGATTAAAGAAAACCATAGCATTATGTTGCCAACATTCTTTGGAGCGAAACGAGTTAGGAAAATCATCAAAACTCCAATAATACCAAAGAACACAAACATGACTGGGAAGAAAACTTGCAAGGCGTATCCCAAGACGTATTCATGAAATAGGGCCGATATTGTAAACACCATTAGTGACGATGCAAACTTGGAGCCTTTAAAGACATACAAATATAAATCCTTGTAGATGTATTCGTAGAGCCAGTCGTGGACAACAACATTCCAATTGCGATAGTATGCCTCATAATTGCTTGCCGTCCACCAGTCACGATAGAACATGCGATCACCAAAACGTAGCAATTCGGCTGTAAAGTTTAGCCATGAATGAAGTATTAGATAGAAACCACACAGATAGATGATAATGCAAGGCATGAGCATGCCGAACAACTTGATGATAACGGATCCGACAGTAACTTCCTCAATGCCGAAATTACCAAAGATCACTTTGATGTGACGTTCATAAATATAACTGTAAAGGAAAGCGATGGCCACAACCTCAAGGAAACGACCAAGAGCAAATTTCCAACGTATAACAGCTGTTCGTGGATAGTTGTCACGATACAATAAAGTTGGAGCGAATAAATAGTAGGAATATTTTTGAAATGGTGGCATAACACTGGCAGTGGATGCTGTACCGTCATTATCCGTTTTCAGTTTGCCTTGCAATACTCGAGCACTTATCGTCCTCACGAATCCATGCATTTTCATTAGCATGCGAATACTTTCCAGCAGCAAGACACAGGCCGATACATATGGAAGATCTAATGTTAGACAGACCTTTGGCGGTAAATATGTAAATATTAATTGACTTGTGATGTACAGTAGAAGACAGGATGATGACCACAGTCTTTGTAAAGTTTCTGAAAACAAAAGCATATTGAGAATTATAATATGAATATTAAATTTAATTTTTTAAGAAATATATACCTTGTTTGGCAAGTTTGGATCTGACATGGGACCAGCCTTTAAGTGCATAATATATGCTGCATACAAACATCTTCTGTACAAGCCATATGGCAAAAACATAATGGATTTTTGCAAAGCTTGCCTTAAATGTTCCCAGACCAAAGTTGACACTGAAAATATAGATGCAATGTATAACGATTAGTATTTGGCAGATTGAGGTATAATTTTAATGTTTGTACTCACCTTCCATTAACGAAATAATCATAGGTGATATTATTTAGCAGAAAGACCAAAAATATTATGTAAAATATATGATATATTGTCTTCATATGATCGACTTCTAAAAGTGCTGTTAAATATGATTCTCTGTTGCGAAAAACTTTTTCGGGTAATGTTCGAAGACTTCGTTTCTTTTTTGTGCGGTCACGTTCATGGCTTTTACTGTCATCACTTTCTGATGAATCATTTGATGTTTGTCTGTCGAGGATGTGTGCAACATTTTCATCAGTTGTTGCATACTGATGTTCATCCCCTGCACCATGACATGTACTTGTATTCGCAGTGGATCTCTCACAAGGTTCATTGGATGTGTTTGATGTTAAATGTACACGATTACTCCAGGTGTTTGATTGTTGTTGCATTTGTGTCTTTGCAAAATTACGAAATTCATGGGCTTGCAACTCTTGCTGTCGTAGTTCTTGCATGACCTCATCTATCATGCCGGACATACGTTTTTGAACGTCACGCAACATATTTGCCTGAAAAGCCTCTAACTTATGGCGCACAAAGTGTAATTCCATATTTTGTGTTGTTAAGTCAGTGTTTTCTGCAAACAAAAGGAACAAAGAAGATTCATCATTTATCTATATTCAAGAATACGTATGTAGATATGTACATATCTAATTCGTTTGTATATTTTATATAAACTGTATGCACATACCAAGAGTGACGGTATTTTTTGTGTTTGAAAATTTCGCAACCATCAATTATCGATATCGGTCTGTTTTTTAGTTTAGTCCCATTATTCGGTATTTTGGGGATATTGGACACGTTTTGTATCCCAATTGGGTTTAATTTGGTTCTCAGTTGGGTGTCAAATCTGCATACCAAAAATGTACTTTGGCGTAAAAAGTTAGGTCCAGCCAAATTTGACGACCTTTTTATTTGTTATTAGGTTTAATTGTTTTGAAATCCGACATATAATTTGACATATAACATTAAGGAATGATGGAAAACATCCTCACAGAAATTAACGAATTTTGTTCGTTCTATCCGTCTCAAAGTCGTTTTACATGGGTTATGTTTATTATTGTTAATACCTTAAGTTCGCATGCCCTTATTTCTTCACAGGACAGAAAATAGTGACGATTTTAAAATCACCCCCATGAAATCACACTATAAACATAATTATTTTTAATTAACGTTTAATTCAAAATAAATTCTAATCATGTTAGTCGGTTGAGACCGTTGCATTAAAAATTAATATAGGAGAAGAAAATGATAAGAAAAGAATATCATAAAGTAATTATTTTCGAATTTATTCAGGTGAGCGTAAATTTGATGTACATTTTTGATGTACATTCAAAAAGTTAGGTTCTTAATAAAATTTGATAATTACAAAAAAACGTGGTAGGAAATCGGCCAGTTAGGTATAGTGAAAACGTAATTGAAATCAAATATATTTAAATATTTTTAGAACATCACTTGATAGTTGTTTTATAATAAATATTGCTTACTAATCTTTTTTTACACAATTAACTGATAAACTATCGCTGACAATAAAGCAAAGGCAACCGGTGGGTATATAGTCGTAATGATTGATAGTTTACCGATTTGCCATTTAATATGGATTTTGCAAAAGATTATAAAAGATTAGGAACATTCAACAAGAAAAACATTCTAATATGACACTTATCAATCATAGGGTATATAAAACAAAAGAATGCAAAAAAAAAATAATATTTCTTGCTGAAATTCCATTTCCGGAGATATGGGCTTTCGGACCCTTATATTTTCTCTTCGTTTTTAAAATTCACTGTGGTATCAATTTAAAATGGTTACGTTAAGTGATTACAAAAATCCAATTTCCCTCTATTTTAATGTTAAAGGTTAAATACATTTATCAAAAACCAATTGTATTGGGACACAATGTTTATACAGAGGAGATTCTCTCCATAGCTGAAAATCCCAGACCGGCCATCCACAAGTAATTTTTTCTAATTAAAATGAGTTTCCGTTACGTAGCCGGAGTTGCCATCTGCCATTGAAGAAAGTCCGGACACCCAGAAATACTTCTAATTAAAATACTTACTTATTTTAATTAGAAGTATATAATCAGGAAGTATGTACTATTTTGAGAATATAATTACATTTTTGCAACTTACATTTCCTTCGCTTTTAATTGGTACCCACTTTGTTTTTAAGGGTTTTAATAGGGTCGGAATTTTGGATACTTATATTTCAAGAAATATGGAGTTCATTTGTAAGAAAATTACATTTTAGTAATCCGAAACGCTTTAAAATATAATAGAAAATATAAGTTTCCAAGAGGAATTTAAGAGGCCCGAAGCACTTCAAAGTGATTACCTTTATAAATTTTAAAAATCATGAGAAAATATAAGGTTCAAGCGGGACTTGAGAGTCCCATATCTTCGAAAATACGGAAATATCTTCCGCAAGTAATAATTTATACCGTTGTAATCAGGGCCTCAAGGATGGACCCGAAACTAGACTTGTTCCCAGTTCTCAGCATTCACAGAGAATTTTTAAATAAACCACAGTTGAAGGTGTTAGAATATCAATTTCGTAATTAGATGTAATCGATTGATGGAAGCATGGCTTGACAGCATAAAACAGATGAAAAGTGAATAGCGGATTTCCTTAGAAAACACGAGTACTTTTTTCTGTTTTGATTTCAACAGAGATTGAATCATACACACGTATGTATGTATCCATTTAAGGGTAATAAACCTTCTTAGTTCGCTCAAATTCTATATCACAAAAAAGTCAAAAATATTTTAAAAATCGAAACGATTTTAGTATAACATTGTTTGAAATGCCATGATCTTCATTTACACACAACACTTCGTTTCATCTAATATAATGCTGTTTTCGTTTTTACTACACCTTTTCCCATTTTTTATTACACTTTTCCTTTCATCAAATACTTCTACTTACCGTTTTGTACCTTTTTGTCAGGAGAGTTGATCTTTCGATCGGATTTTATTAATTTTTCTACCATCTTTTATTGAGGGATTTATAACCCTTAACGGAAAATGTGATATATATTATTAAATCCCTCTGTTCTAATTTGTATTTAAAACACAGAATTTCAATATTTCTTTAATTTATAGTTAAACCACTCTCTACCGAATATCATTCCAAAATGATTATGTTCGCTTGTTGTATGGTGCAAGATAGCTATTGTTCTCTGTGCCCCCCACACACTAGCACTCACACACACATTGTTTCACTCAATAACTGTTTGAGAGTACAACAAAAGAGTAGTATATTGTATCTTGGGGAGAATGTGTAATTTGCCTGAAAATGTGGAGTATACACTTATGGAGACGAGAGAATGTTCTCATAGTGATCTTCATTTTTGAAAACCGAATATTTAATAGAGGTATGTATATGTTTTGGTTTTATATAGAGAAATAGTTAAAGTTGTTGTCTATTGGTCCAAGACTCACATTTAAATATGCCCATTTATATATCTAGTTTAGCTGATTTGCTTTAGCATTGGAGGTTCATCAGTGTATTATAACTTGAAGTCCATGTATTGACTGTAGTTATGGAGCGATCGTCTATAAATTTGGATTAAGAATCGGAATCTGGCCAACGAAGATATTTATATGATTTTGATGATGGGCTAATATTCAAATGGGATGAACAAAATAAATTGAAAAAAATTTAATATATATTTTTTTTGATGATTATCGGCTCAGATGATAAAATTTACTAGTATGAAAAATTACAAGACATTGTTAGATATAATTACACTTAGGTGCTTAGGCGGGTATTTAGCTACGCAAAATTTGGTGACCAATGATTTTATTTGGTTGGATGTAATAAAAGTTCTTTCCTGTAAAATTTATAGAAAATGGAAACCAATGTAATATATGAATCGTTTAACAAGTACGTAAAAACAGGGGTCTATATTGCATTTTCTTAGAATAAGGTTGTCATGCTCCATGAACCCAGTCACTTCAATTGGAATACGCGATTAGGCCAATCAAAAAAAAAAAACTTAAAATGAGGTGGGAGCCTATGTCAAAATATATAACTAGGACCATCAAACAATCAAAATAGGACAAGACCTTTATACGGTGCTGGGTCAAAATTAGAACATATATTGAAAAATTTTATGTTGGATAGTATAAGAATGAAAAAAATGTATGTTTATTTGTTGACAAAATATTTCCGTTTGAATATGACCATGGAATTATTCTATATCATTTTTATATCACTACATTCAAATCTCTTAAAAAATGTACTAATCTATAATGTTTCTAGATGTATTATTCGGTTCAAAATACCATATATTTACGTTTGATTACAGCAATCTCTCATTAAAAAATCATCAGAAAACCCCTTATCTCTTGTTATCGTAATAGTTTCAATATATGCGAGAGTGATACGATTTCAATATTTTACTCAATATTATAGTTTTAAGTACAATTATTTGAGTACACATTTTCATACCAATTGTAACTCTCATTTCAAAACTATACATGTGAAATAAACAGCTCCTGGTTCAAAGTACACATTTGGTTTTCGAGTGCATCCACATTGGTGACAATAGTTCTAAGTTAATCATATTTGAGTACAATTCAATTAATCTCCCTCCTCGCTATTGCAAAATTTGTTTTTTTTTAAGTTTAAAATCCCATTATGTGTTGTTAGATCCATTACGACGTTGTTGTTGTCTCGTGAATTTAAACGAGCGGCAAGTAAAGTCAATGCGTACTCATCGGGTACATTGCTTATCACTGTTACAGTCACTAACAACCATGCTTCAAGTACTTGTGCACTCGGTAGGCCTTTAGTAATAATTGCACGATGAATGACTGATAATCCCGTCTGGTGGCAAATTATTAATCGCAAAATGTTTTGGTCTGTATTACAAATATCCCAGTGATAAACGATGTACTGCAGTTGACTCTGGCTTAGTGTAATTCATTTTAAAAGGAATTTTACATTAATTCATGCAAATTCTTTTAGATAATATGTTTCCATATACTAATGTGTATATCAATAAAAAATAAGGAACATTAGAGTACTAACTAAAATGGACTCGACATATTTGGGTAATACGGCCGTGCAAAACCTCTCTCTATAGTGGGGAATATGAATATTTTTGTACGCCTCGTTGGAAATTAAGTAACATTGTTATAATTTCTAAAATATATTTACAGTTATCCGGAATATACTGTAAATTTATGATTGTGAACTCACAGGTGCGCAATTATATATCGGTAATAAAATTCACGATACGTTCGATTGTACTCAATCGTTTATAACCTGTCCATATGGCACAGAAGTTAAGTTCGCGTACAACGTTCAACCACGTTCCTATAGGATATGTGAGTCATTGTGTGGGCCTATACAAAAATTTTAGCATACCCATGATACAATAATACAAGGAGGGCAGGTAAATATGCAACAAGTGTTTGTGTGACATTTTTTCAACACAAAATCCGAAAAATGAATAAAAGGTTATGTAGGGAACACCATAAAATGTTTGTTTCATCCATAACAAAGTAATTACTTCCAGACGCACGTGTTAAAAACTTTATTTTCATTTCAATTAATGTGGAATATATTTCAAATTATTTTAAATTTATTTGACATTGTATTCAAAACAATACACACACATACACAAAATACGTATTTTGATTTGATTGAACAAGCCACCTTGAGAAAAAATTGTAATCAGTTGGTAGCTGTGCCCTACCTTGTAATAATTATACCATGAGCATACCTAGATAACATTTTGTGGGCATATCTAGAATATGAAAGAAAAGAAAATGAGGATCACATAGGAAAATCAAGAATAAAATTTATATTTTAGAAGAAAATAGTCTATGAACTGAGATCCGTACTAAAAATATGGTAAAACTATTTTGTTTTTGCAAAATAGTCAGGCTGAATCCCAGTTTGTTTAAAAAAAAACTTATATTTATTAGTGGGGGATTGTTGCTTTTATAAAAACAACAAACTGACTATTTTGCAAAAACGAAATCATTTTACCATATACCATATCTCAAATATCTCTCAGGCTATTAATGTTATGATAGGTCCTCGAACATTTATTTTGATATATTCAATTGATATATTTTGGTAGTGAGATTTGAAAGCCAATGAGTATACAAAATACCAAATTACAGCCAATTTGATTAAAAAAAATCTCCATATTGGGGATATCATATTATGGGCTCTAGTGGGTCAATATTAAAAACTTTTAGGAAAAGTGCTAATCAAAATTACAGCCACGTTGGTTGGTGTCTGGCTGGAAAACTAAATAAAAAATCCTCGAAATACCGAGTACCGTGGGGAGTACCGTTATATGGGGGTTACACAGAAACTTGGGTTACTATTAATAATTTTAGGTGCAAAGATGTGCTATACCACGACAACCTAAAATGCCAAGTTACAGACAATTTGTTAGGAAAACGTGTTCAAAATCCCCAAAATACCGAATATTGAGGGGTATCGTTATATGGGGGCTATTCAAAAATGTGGAACGATATATGCCATTTGCAATACCAAACATCGTAGGAGTACTAGCAATATCAGAGCTCTATCTTAATTATTGCGATCTCTATCGTGATTACAACAGACACATGTGTAAATCGACATAGAATTTTATTCTGATCAAAAATATATATACTGTGTGGGGTATCTGGTAAATATTTCGTGGTGTTGCAAAAGGAATGAATGTCCTTTATATTTGTAAAGATTTTGTGGATAGCTGATCTTCGGTCTGTGCTTTATGACATTTACCAATGGATAGATTTTACCACTAGCTAGTGTAGTATATAAGATAAAATGTAACGGGGACAAAACCAACTTATGCCAAAAGGTGTATGTTGGTACAACAAAAACCAAACTAAAGACAAGACTTTCTGGACATAAGTCGGATCAAAATGCAGACAAGCCATTAGAACAAAAGACGGCTCTTGCAGCACATTGCACAATGACGGGGCATACGCCAAATTTCAAAGACGTTGATATTTTGACACAGGAAAACAATTATAAACGACGATTTACTTTAGAAATGCTTAATATAATAAATGTGCCGCAAGAGAAGAGAATGAATTACAAGACTGACACGGACCACTGTGCACATATGTATAGAAATTTAGTTCATAAGCACAGACGAATTAAAGTTTAGTTTAGCATAGACGGTGTAACAAACCTGTAGCTTCTCTCATAACGTAATATTTGTGTTATATTATTCTGTGAAAACCTTATTAAATAATTGTATCTTTTAGTATTTCCCTGAAGATGACTGTCGAAGACAGTCGAAATATTGGAGAATAAAAAAAAAAAAAAAAATAAAAAAGCAGAAAACAAAATACTGAATTTTATTTAACCTTAAGCCGAAACAAATCCAAACAAGAAAAACTAGCTAATTTTGCAGACATATGTCTTAGGAAGTTCGGGAGAGACAGATCCTCAAATATAACTGTGAGGATCGAACCCAAAGACGAAATTAATTCGATAAATTACTTCTGGGAGTTATCGGTACCACACGCCAAGGAAAAGGTGCGAACATCGGAAAACACCTACTTCAACGGCAGAAAAATATTAAGTAATACATTTGTCAGAGCTTTCTATAGTAGTGGCAACTATTTCTGAGAAGAAGAATAGAGTATTAATTCGATTTCTTCTTTATGATCAATAGTTATCCACGTCTCCGCATAAATTACAGTATTCGTCGACATCTTCATCGCATTTCCAACTACTTCTATGGTTTTCGTGTCCTGCCTCCTTGATGAAAATTGCCTATGCAGTTTAAGTTTGGAACAATTTCGTCAGCTAATTACTTCCTTTGTTCACACTGTGTTTGATAGTCATCCCACAAGTTATAATCGGTGCTCAAAATATGTTGAAACAAATGAACCATCCGAAACATAACTGGCCCGACACTACCCTGATTTCTCTGGACAGCTGACATTATTTACCTTTGGTGTGTGTATTGGGATAGTTAGTGGTCGGAATTACCCCAAGATCCTCACAAGACAGATGTTAAACATGTGCGAATATCCACACGATCATCACTCCAGCTAGAGGAACTTCGCTTAATAACGGTAATCTTTTCAATAGTTGGCGTACCAGTATCATCAATCCGCCCATAGATGGGCCACCTCCGTTGGAGGTATCCATATTTTGTACGATTACAAAAATAATTATTAAAATTGGCATACATGGACATCGCCCATGTGATTTCTAGTAAAATTAATATTTCAGTTATAGAAGAATTTGTGTTTTTATAGAACTTAATATTTTTCTATTAAATAAAAAAATGTCTTTATCCATTTTCACCGTTTTAAATTCACACAAATTTGTGTGAAATTTAAATAAGGTCCTTGCGTATTTGGGTAATACCAAACCCTATACAGGTGAGGTTTTTAGGATATATTGGAATAAATAAGATTGGCTATGCGTAGATTGCAACGAGTAAAAAATAAAAATATTAATATTAAAATTTCGTTGCACCGAAAACAAGAACGGGTTTTAATAGATCAATATATAAAATACAAATTATATTATAAAAGATGTGTTAATATTTTACAGTTAATTTAAGTGTGTTAAATTGTTAGAAAATTAAAACAAACTGAAACTGACAGTAATTCTAATAATGAAAACATCATGCAAAATTAAATAAAAAATAATATTGACATATACACGCTACAGTCAAATAATAAAACTACGAAAATGTACTATTCATAATTTTTTATTTATTTAGTTTCTTTAGTTTGATTTTTCAATTATTTCATTTTTTGTTGTTTTAAATTTATAGTACAAAGGTGGAAATAAAGAAATAAGAACATAACAAGAATAAATTTAAAGGAAACTAAAAAAAGTCAAAACAGACAAAGATAAATATCTTCGGTTTAAATATGTAGAGAAGAGATTTATAAGAATATATTTAAAATAAACTTAATGAAGGTAAGGCAAAGCAAATAAAAATAAAACTATGGTTTAGTTTTAATAACAAAATTAATTACATTTTCTGTTTAATTATTACTCACTAAAGAAAACAAGGAAAATTGAAAAAAATAAAGGCATTCGTTATACGTTCGTTAAACTAGACCATTTGTTGGTTGGTTTTTTGTTTTAGAATCATTATAGACTACGTTTGCATTAACATAAGAATACGCGTTTCCCAAAAACATGTTACGATTCCAGTTTCAATAAAAATACATAAGTTATTTTATATTTAAAATTATTTGCACATGACACTGCAACGACAGGTGTTTTGGCGTCTCTCGATAAAATAATAGAAACACAAAAAGCAACAACAATAATATACTAAATAATTTACAAAAACACACTCAAATTATAAGCTAATTGAAAATTTGAGAATAAGTTCTAATTAAATAAATGAAACACAAGATATTTGGATTCCTTCTTTTTTCATTTTTTTTCTTAGTTTTGTTTCTGTCATCAAAAGATGTTGATAGGACGATGACACAATGGTATAACACAAGATATTTTATATACACATGGCCATTTGTATTTCAAGGTAGATCGTTTCTGATGTTACGTTTCGGAAAAAAAGAATTGTGGAATATGGGATTTTTTTGTTTGTTTGATTTTGTATAGAGAATTTATTGTTGTTTCATTCATCAATCATTATAATTTGCGGTGGTTTTGCTACTACATTAGTTGTGGTTGCTGATGCGGCTGTTACCCCCGATAACAATGATGATGGTATTAGGGTAGATGCTATTGTTGTTTCGGCTGTAGTTGCTTTTTCTTCACTTCGACTGTCGTTTGTTGTAGGCAATGTCTGTGCGGCTAATTGTCACTTTGATGAATCCGTTTGCTCACCAACGCGTTGATAACGAGGCTTATTGCGTGTAAAAGGCAAATACTTGTATTTTATCATATGCTGGAAGGCGGAAAAAATAAAAATAAATATTATTTATCAGTTTGACCTAAAGCATGGTTATTTTGCATATGTAATATTGTGAAAAATAATAAATTAATGTTACATCATATCGTATTAACCCATTAGTGAATGAAGGAGAAATAAATCTGAACTGAATTAAATGAAAAACACGTAATTCATTAGGAAAATATATACATCACTTACATAAAATAGGAATAAATTATATATTGGAATTTGACACAAGTCATTAAATACCCCATTCGGAAATCTATGTAAAATTTCGTATTAATAGGTCAAACGTGGAGACTATAATCCACAATTTGAATGACAACGGACGAGAGTATATATGAGAGCTATATTTTAATCTTAACCGAATTGATTTTGGTGGCGGGATGTGATTTTCTCTTAAATCAACACACCTTTCTCCAAATCTATCGATTTTCCGACGTATTGAACTATCAAAACACAGCTACCACAAAAATCCGAACCAACACACTTAGGTTTGAAATTATTGCCGAGGAGTGATTTCATTTCGCCTTTATTTGATGAAGTATGAATGGTTTCCTCAGTATTTTTTTTTTATCAGATATTGATAGTCAGCTCCTAATATCGACTGAAATACTCTCTAAGAAGCAATATATGTTTTTCTCTGGGGAAACTGATAAATCTATACATTCCTCAACAATTATTTCACAAAGCCATCATGGTTATGTCTCTCATCAGATAACATATTAGGTTGGGGAAAAAAGAAATCCATTATTATTATTTTTTGTGTAAATGGTTTAAAACAGTTATGTTCGATTTTTAGCTCCTGGGCGATGTTACGACTGCTAACATGCCGGTCAACTTCGATCATTTCTCCGATTTTATCGACATTTTGGACGACCGGCCTACCTGTGCGAGGTGCGTCTTTAACATCAAAAATTCCTGAACGGAATCGACGAAACCAAAATTGCACATAGTTGGCTGTTACCGTATCGGAACCATAAACACCATTCAAAATTTTAGCCGCTTGGCTTGCATTTTTGCCTTTGTCAAGGAAAAAACTGTAAAACTGTAAAATGTACCGAATTTTCTCTTTGTTCACTTCCATTTTCAACACCCCCTTCCAACGATCATAAATGTGAAATTGTTTGAGCGATAGTTTACGAGAAATCTATCAGTAAAATAAATCTATCATATTCCGAGAAAATAATGGATTTCTTTTTCCCCAACTTAATATTTGAAAAGTTAATTAGTCAAAACATCATTCAAAAAAATTAAAAGAACATGCGATTCTTAGAAAAATTACTTTCCAGAAATGAAGTCAACCTTGGTATACAAATTTTCATATTTCTTAAAGATCTCCCAAAAGAAAAAAATCAACAAGACATAAAAAAGACTTTGTGCTTCGTAAAACTCTCATAACTACATTCTAGGAATTTCACAATAAAATTCTGAAAACTACATCCAAAGAATTTCACAATTAAGGTGAAATATGTTGACGCCAATTTAAAGAATAAACATATCGCATGACCCGATTGAGCAATAAACACAATTTACGCAAAACATACCCTTATTTATATTAAAATAATTTTAAATAACAACTATCCCCCATATTTAGGAATTCAAAATAATGCATTTCGTATATTCTTACCTTAATTTGTCGTTTCATTGTTATGCAGAATAACGTTATGAAGTACATGACCAGTATGGGCCAAAATACGGGTATATTGAAACAATCAAAGAATGTACAGATTATCGCTATTGTTGTACTTTTTGTAATGCTTAGCCAGAATTTGAATTCGGGCAGGCGTCGTATAAACGGCCGAAATTCTTCATTACTGCGTGTTGGCAAATTTGGACCATCGTCTGTAAAACAAAAGAAAAAAATATATATTTTATTATAAAAGAATATTGAAAATAAAAAAAAAAACATAATTGTTTGTGCAAAATTAAATGGGTCTAATTACACCCTAGGTTTCATCAATTTAGTATTTAAATTATCTAAAAGAAACAAAATGACATATTTCACTTTCCCACGATTCTAATGTTGCCTAGCCATCATTTTCTCTCTTCCATCTAACTATAAAACAAAGTATCATATTATTCTTTCAGCTTAGCTGTATTGATTTTCTAATAAGGCTTACAACAAGTAGTGAGCGCAATAAGATTATAAATTATTAGTCGCATTTGAAAGAAAAAATATTTACTTGTTATTTGTTTTGATTTTGTGTTTCTTCCTCCAACAAACAAATAAGGCGAAAATCAATATTCGCTTACATTTTGCCCAATGTCGAACTAACTGGCAATGACAACACACAGGCCTTTCATTCTCATATTTGTATGAATTTCAAACCATGTTATTATGATGTACATTTACATTTTACTATTTATGCATAATATATTTAGGTCATTTTTATGCAAGTGAAAATAAAAATTATTGGCATTTTTTAACGAATTGCCTTTAAAGACTTTAGTACTATATGTTTAATATAGTAGTATAGTATATATAATAGTTACTATGTTTTATAGCTTTACTTTACTCGATATCACTACCAGATAGGTATAACCACAGCTTTTAGTTGTTGTTTTTTTATTTTTCGATAAAAAAAAAATATGTATTTTTAAAGGAAGAACTGCGACTTTAGTTGAATGTAATCTTGGCGATTCAGCCATTTGTTAGCCAAATTCAGGATATTTGGGGGAGAATACTATGTATCGTATACGAAAATTATATAGGACTGTTTTCCTATATTATTTTCCGTCAAAACAAATTGACTTCAGGTAGCACCTTTTCCCAAGGTACGTTGTAAAGAAGAAAAGTTATAAAAGAAAACATGTGAAGAAAGAGGAGAGTTTTAGGTTGGGAACACGGGGTCTATCTCGGAAAATGTTTAGAGTGTCTATGTTATATCTTCCAAACTTTTGATGCATTTTTTCGGTCATCGAAACACTAACCTCACATAGACGTCAGTATTCCACTTCATTAATTTTCCAATTTGAACAGAGAGATATGATCCTTCAGGGACCTGTGCTGAACCCTACAGTAATATTTAACTTTCTCCAACCCAAAGAAATCAATTTTCTACTTCGATATAGTTTGTATATAGATTCTTTCAAATGTAAAATATTCTTCACAGATAATTATCGCCACAAAATTATGCCATCTGAAAAACCCAATCAGTTTGCTAGATCTTATATATTCACAACATTACCGTCAGTCTACGATTCTCTGTTAGGTATTTCTATTGTAAAATTATCAAAGTCGATGTCCATCAGGGCCTGGACATTTAAATGGTTTTAAACTACGTGGATTTTTAGAGACTTCCGAACTTTGTAAGAAGATCATATATATTCGATCTATCTTTGATAGTACATAAGGATGTGGATCTGTAATCTGATAAGTAGTATATGAATATATAAATGGCAAAAAATTGCAACACATTCTGCAATTTCGGAGTTTTTCCAAAATTCTTGGTTACTGGATTTAAAATTATCCTTAACACTAGAAAGACTGGAATTTTGTATATACCTATATTGCCTAAAATCGGTCAAAATGTCCTCATTCTGCAAGAATTTTTATTGTGTAAAGAAATTTTGTTTAACTTATTTTTTACATTATTTACAATCATACAAAACGTTTTTATTATTTGTTTTCGGTGAGAGTGCTCTCGAGTTTCCTTTTTTGAAAATAGCGCGGACAAAATGTTCGAAAAAGAGTAAGTGTTTACTCGAAGAGTTAAAGCGACTGGAAATATAAAATTTAATTTTCCCGATTTGTGTGTTCGTTTGTGTTTCTAGAGTAGCAAACCGTTCTCGATGTTGTTGTACTAATCTGGTCATATAAGAAATTTACTTTATACAATAATAAAAGCAGTTTGATTATTTAATATTTCACAAGAGGTCAAAATCACAGATTTTAGGCAATATAGATATAACACATGTGAATATGGGAAATGAAAGAGGGGGAAGCAGCTACTATGATTAATAAACGTAGTTCTATGTGGTATAAAAGTCACCAAATTTTAAAAAGCTGCGTCATAATATACACAATTGTTTTTGTACGGCCAAAATGACCGCCTTTGGCAATCTAGTGTTAATCTTGTTAAGGTAAATATTTTACAATCATCGAATATTTACCATAGTTTATAGAGGAGCCAGATTTTTTATATATTTATACAGTCGGAATGAGTTCGAAATACCAGCTCACCGTATGTTTGGTATTTCAAATGGGTCCACGTTTCTGTGCAGCGTCACTTACGGTTTATACACCGCATAGCTAAAAGGGGTGTATTCTGGGTTCTTGGCAGAAAATGTTCAAAAATAGTCTTTGTTTTCACAAAGCGTCCAGATAAATCCCGATTTTGGATAATAAAAAATATGGCGAATTTTTGTTTTGTTGATTTTGCAACTAATGTGGTATTTTAATAAAATACCTACTGGTAGACTATTCTGACTAATTTTATGTATTTTGAATGCAAATTTTCTGGGGGACAGTATAAAAAATTACTCCGATGGTAAGTTACTTTTTATTACTGAATGAATCAAACGCATAATGCCCGTACATCACCATTGATCTACAACCGCATTCTTTTAAATCTGAATATCTGTATAAATACAAATAAGAGTGATATATACTTAATAAATAAATATTACAATAAATATGCTAAACAAATATTTTAATAAATTACGTACGAACTCATTTGCCTGATTTTCTCAACATTTCTTGTTCTAGTTGTAGGATAAACGGTTCTTGTGGTTAATACATTTTTAAAAAATTCAAACTCAACTTGTTACGTTTAATTGTGGCTAATAAAAACAATTGATTGATTTGATAAACAAACACTATAGTATGCCAAATCAGCTAAAATTGAACGCTAATTTCCGAATGTTTGTCATAAATCTTAGTCGCCGAATAATATTGAATAAAAAATTACGATAGCACTCACCATCATTGGCATATGGATCGAATTCCGGATCGATTTTTGGCGTTAAAAATGCTATAAACAAATTTAAATGAAAAATGCCCAAAGCATAGCAGATAATGTACCAGCCCTGGTTTAAAAATATGCGCAACAGGAATATTAAAACTAGTGCACCCGCTGCACTCCAACGCAGTTTTGTATGTGGTGTGGATCGATCCAAGGCAGATTGATAGATCTGTAAGAGAAATGAATTATTATTAAAAAAATTAAAGAAAAGCAACAACAATTGGCCATCAAAACATATTGACAATTTGGTCATGAGTCAATCAATGGGAACCTTGGATACCACCATGTTTGATAGACCAATTTACATGTTTTTTTGGACAAGAGGGACTTACTTGTGATAAACGTTGAAAGAACTTTCTCACACCGCCACTGGATGACGTTGACGCACTCGTCGTATCTTCATTCATCATATTCCTCCTTGTGGATAATGATTACTTTTGTTTGCTTATGGTGTTGTTGTTGTTATATTGCTACTTGTATTAAACCTAATTACTAGCCTCCTCTACTTCTTCTTGTCGTCGTCGTCTTGTGGCTAAATCCAAAAAATAAGAAGAAAACTTAAGTCAGCATATTTTACAACACTAATATGGATTTCTGAATATCTTTTCGAGGAACAATAGCCGTAGTAATGTTTATGAAAATTATTTAACAGAAAATTTTATGAAATCGGCCTGGCCGTAGTACAAATGTTGGAAATTACAGACGAAAAAGAATGAAAACACGTCATGTCAATTTATTCTCTTTCTCATTGAAATTCGTTAAACACCACACTCTCTCATCTGAGTGTCGTCTGACAGACTTTTTTAATGAAGGAAAATGTCTGAGACCTGCTCGCGTGCTTCCACTTTTACTTGTTATGATCTGTGTTCTAGACTCGGAACCAGCACAGTCACGGCTGGATCTTGACTAAATATATATATTTTTTGTAATTGACCTTTTAACTCAATTTAAATGTAGAGATAGCATTTGTAGGCAAAATAAAACTGGACCGAACGACCGACCGCCGTGAGATAATGACAGAACAGAACACAACACAGGCCCTTTTTCAGAATTTCATATATGGAAGTTAGATTTAATCATATTCCAACACTTTTTAATGCTTTAAAATAACAGCTTTAAGATGCTTACACTTCTTCTACAATTTGCACATGATATATGTTTAAAAAAAGGAATAATTTTCTCTGTTAAAAAGAAAATTTTATTAAATTATTTCCACTGACATTCGCTATTTTCTTTTGATTTCTTTTCCAATTATGTCTCTCAACCCACCACCACGTCACGTTTAGGGATGCGAAAGCTGATTTTGAACGCACAAAAGGGACCATAGAGAAGTGCAATCGATTATTTTCTCTACTCGATTGTAATACTGGGGTATGTTCAGTGTGTGTGTGCTTGTTATTGCCAGACTTTGACAGCTACTATCTGATTTTTCTAATTCAATGCAAATATTATAATATAATAATGAATAAATACTAGATATAAAAATCAAAAAAAAAAAAAATATATATATATATATATATATAGAGAAACAAAAAAGCAATACAATAAATAATATATTTCCCTGGATACTTTAACCAAAATACGTTGTTTGAGCTTGTTCAGTTAAGCATCACATGTCATACGGAAGTAATAAGATTGAACGACGTTCATACTATTTTATGAACCACTGCTTTTGGGTCGTAATTTAGGGGATATAGGGGAGAGGGTGGCACATTTGGACAGCGCTCATTAAATTTTGGTTTAAAATTCTTCCGCATCGTAAATAACTTTTGCTAGCTTTTCAGTTGTAAGGGCGCAGAAAGAATTCTTTCGTTAAACAATTTGTTTGCATTTCGACAATCATTTCAAACATAACTAATGTATTTTCTTCCATATACATATATTACCTACAAATAAATATATCATACATTTCCGTAAACTCGAGTAAAAACGGATTTTTAACTTTTGCCCAGTGTGGTCTGCAGCATTTTTGCTGCTGGATTTAGCCGCAAAAATTTCATTTAGCATTTTTCTGTTACCAATACCAAAACATTTGTTAGCATTATTTTATTAATAAAGTTTTAAACATTTTTGTACTTATTTCAAAGAAAAAATCTTATGAAATTACAAATGTGACAATGGAAACCATTTGCGTAGTATTTATACAAATCTAGCATCACAGCTCAATAAAACAATTATGTTTTATTTAATTTTATTTAGTTAATTAATTAGTTAATTAATTAATTAGTTAATTAATTATTAATTATTTAGTTTCCAACCCCGCTGGAACTTTATTATAGTTCTTCGCCTTCCGTTGACAGATAAAGGGATAATATATTTAATGTAAATAGAGTACCAAAGTCCCTATATATCATTCGATTTCCCCGAAATTTTGCATAGCGCAATGAATTAGGTCTAGAATGATGTGTGTTAAGTTTCCTGAAAATCGGTCCAGAATTAGATATAGCTCCCATATATATTTTCGTCCGATTTAATGTGAATAGAGTACCAAAGTCCCTATATATCATTCGATTTCCGCGAAATTTGGCATAGCGTAATGAATTAGGTCTAGAATGATATGTGTTAAGTTTCCTGAAAATCGGTCCAGATTTAGATATAGCTCCCATATATATTTTCGTCCGATTTCAGGTAAATGGTGCACTGAAGTCTCTTTATATCTTTCGATTTGCACGATGTGTGTTAAGTTACCTGAAAATCGGTCCAGATTTAGATATAGCTCCCATATATATTTTCGTCCGATTTAAGGTAAATTGTGCACCGAAGTCCCTTTATATCTTTCGATTTGTACGAAATTTGGCACAGTGTACTGAAGTAGGTCTAGAATGTTGTGTGTTAAGTTTGCTGAAAATCGGTTTGGATTTAGATATAGCTCCCATATAGTTTCATCCGATTTGAAGTAAATGGTACACCAAACCCAAAGTTAGGCCGATTGACACAACATTTTGCACAATGTACCGAAGTTAATATTATCTAGCATGTGGAAAGTTTTGTTGAAATCGGTTCAAATTTGGATAGAGCTACCATATATATTTTCTCCCGATTTTAATGAAATGGTGCACCAATAACTCGAAATGTGGCTGATATGCACAAAACATGTTGAAATTTATATGACCTAACCTGTGACCAGTTTCTATGAAATCGGTTTAGATTTGGATATAGCTTTTATATATATTTTCGTCCGATTTTTAGCACATGGTGCACCAAACTACTCATGTTTATCAGATATTTATCCAAATAATAAACGGGTGACCGATTGATATTTGCTTTAAATTGATTTACATAATTTTGTCCCATTGTAAGAAGCAACTCCATATCAGATCAAATGAAAAATTTAGTATAGGTTGCAGAATGACATGCTTATGAATCCAATTTCATGTCATTGGTTCTTCAAAAATGCGACGTCTGTTAGGATTCATCTGTTGAATATATCCAAAGTGGTGAAGGGTATAATATAGTCGGCCCCGTCCGACTTTACTACTTTTCTTACTGGTTAATAAATTTGAGCAAGGTTTAATGGAATTTGTTTTTAACATGTGTCTATAATAGGCAAGCTTGTCGTATCCTTCGGAAGTTAGCCTAATCAAATAGACTAATTACATTGTGCAACACAAAAAAATAATTACCGGAAAATTCCAACAGATTATGAAAGAGGGGCTAAAAAAAGAAGACACGTGTATCGGCGTTTTGAAAGTTTACGTCGGGAGGTAACCTGAAATGGCGGGACAATATTCCCCCTTTTCAAGAATTTTGATCATTTTCGAATTAAGATTTCTTGCAATCCTTGCATTTTAGGTATATAGTGTCTTCGACAATATTACTGATAAAATATCGAGGAATATTTTGGTATACAACTTTAACCCTCAACCGACTCATTGAAGGGGTCTTTTCGGTCCCCATTTTTTATTTGAAGGTGTTGCAAAAGGAATAACAAGGTTAGGTTAGGTTAGGTTTGGGATGTACGGCTGTTGTAACAACCGTCCACTCGGAGACTATGTCCATTGTGATCATCCATTATGTATAGGTGTACCTATAAAGAGAGAGAAGAAAAGATAGTGGAAGAGTAGAGAGAGAGGTAGTCAGAATAGGAGGGAGCGGAAGCGGAAGAGACATTATTTTAGCCAAGTCAATTTTTTGACAAAGCCTAGAATTAGGTTAGGGTCTATTTTGGAGAAGAAGACTAGATTATCAATTTCATAACATCCAAACTGTTTATGTCTTCTGCTGATCAGCGATGGACATTTGCAAAGGATGTGCTCAATTGTTTCCACTTCTTCCTCATCCTCACATAGACGACAGTAATCCTCTCCACTGGAGTCCCACTTAGAAGTGAGAGATCTAACTTTGCAGTGACCAGTAATGATCCCCACAACGATCTTAATCTCCCTCTTGTTGTGATCCAGCAGCGAAGACGTTCTTTTATGAGAGAATTCTGGCCAGATAGATTTAGAGATTCTGCATGCAGGTTCCCTTAGCCATCTGTTGCCGACTACCTCGCAATAGAACGCACGGATTCTGCCAATGAAATAGCTAATAGGGGGTTTCACAGATCTCTCAATCAGAAGACTGGACGACTGTGACCCCCCTCGAGCAAGCTCGTCGGCTATCTCATTCCCTTCAATATCGTTATGTCCTGGAACCCATGCTGCAACACGCAGATGAACGGATAATATCATATCTGCAGGACATTTTTAGGGCTTGTTTACTTTTGTCGTACATACCCAGTCTATGGAAAGAGGTTACCGTGACCTTCATCCCGAAAGCCGGGAAGCCGAGTCATACGGTACCTAAAGACTATAGACCGATTAGTCTTTCTTCCTTTCTACTAAAAACTTTAGAAAGGTTACTAGACTCAGAAATTAGAGATACCATTGACCGTAATAAACTTAGGGTGGAGTTCTTTCTCCCCTTTTGTGGCTTCTGGTGATAAATGAGATACTTATGAAATTCAATCATCTCAGGATAAAGGTTGTAGCCTATGCCGATGATGTAGTCTTGTTGGTTGGGGGTAAGTTTATTACGACAATATCAGACATCCTGGAGGGTGCTCTTTCAACCCTGTCAAATTGGGCTTGCACCAAAGGTCTTGGTGTAAACCCCACAAAAACCGAACTGGTACTCTTCACTAGGAAATACAAAGTTCCTAGTTTCCGTCTGCCATCACTTGGTGGAGTGACACTAACTCTCTCTGATGAAGCTAAATATCTTGGCACTGTCCTAGACCGCAAGTTACTGTGGAATAGGAATGTCGAGGAACGCTCTAAGAAGGGATTGATGGCACTCTATTCATGCAAGAACTCCATAGGCAAGAGTTGGGGATTGAGACCCGGAATTATACACTGGCTGTATACGACGATTGTCTTACCCATACTTACCTATGGATGTCTTGTCTGGTGGCAGGGGGTGAATAAAAAGAAGCTGCTGACAAGACTGAGCTTAGTACAGCGATCGGCTTCAATTCTGATCACTGGAGCATTAAGAAGCACACCACAAGCAGCCTTGAACGCAATCTTGAATCTCCAACCATT